TAAGTTTTGCCACCAATCGCATCGCTTGGGGATTCTGAGGGGGTGTCCTGTTTCTGTGTTGCGAGGTCTTCGGGGTGCATGCGTGGCCCTGCCGCACCCCCGGAGGCTTCGGGGCTCCCGCGAGAGCCCTCACGAGAGCTGAGAAGTACGTGGAACCGCGCCTCCACAGGTGGTTGCCCCCGAAGTCGGGCACCAGTGTTCGTGGGTTCGAGCGAGTTTGGGGTGATCTACGATGTACTTGAAGGTGGTTCGCCTACAGTCAACGCGCATAGTACAAAAGACTTGTTCAAGGGTGCCCTTGGGCCCTTGCCTGCCTCAGCCTCTGCGGCCCGTCCCTAGCAATTTTCGCAGGCAAGTTGCTCAGGTTCCCTGGAGGTTTGGCCGCCTGCCGCCCAGAATACTTCAACTTCGGCCTCCAAGGGTCTTGCGTCCTTACCACGCGTCCTTACTGTACGTTTTCACTGTAGCAGCGTGGCGGCACCGAAGGTGGAATAGCAGAATGCGCGATCTTCCTTTGCGTTCCACTCATTGGGGCAAGGGTTATCCCCAGACCCCTGGCGTCGTGAGGATGAAGAGGAGGAGGAGGAGGAGGAGGAGGAGGACGAGGAGGAGGAGGAGGAGGAGGAGGAGGGGGAGGAGCGAGGAAGAGGAGGAGGAGGAGGAGGAACGACTGGGAGGAGGAGGAGGAGGGGGGAGGAGAAGGAGGAGGAGGAGGAGGAGGAGAAGGAGGAGGAGGAGGAGGAGGGGAGCAACAGGGAGAGTCAGGATGGAGCAGGGGTGAGGGTGACAGAGGGAGAAGGGAATCCGGGAGTAGAGATGACGAATGGAGGGAGCAACCTTAGCACGCAATTGAGAACACACACGCGCACATTCACGAACACAACAACTCAGATGTGCAACGTTAGCACCAGGTGTAATCACACAATTCCTGGGGGATGCGGAGGGAGAAGGAGGAAATGCGGAGGGAACAAAGGGGAGAAGAGGAAGTGAGTAGGAAGAAAGATGCAGTGAATGGAAGATGCGGAGGAGAGGGGCAGGTACGTGAGTTGTTGTGCCGCCCCTGATCTTGATCCCCCGAGATCCTGGGATGCCTCTGGAATCTTCGTGGCAACGCTCAGCAAGAGGGGCTGGTGGAGGGGCAGAGAGGGCCAGGAGCCCCAGACCCGCCCCTCCTCCTCCTTAGCTTCCCCACCGATCAGCCCATTATCTTATCCTGCTCCTTCTCTTCCTCCTATTTCTCCATTCCTTCTCCTTATATATAATTCCTCCCTGTCGCACGCTGGGGCCAGTTTTTTGGGCGGGCCGGGTGTTTCGCCTGAGATTGCCTCAGCATGTATGATTCTGAAGCTTAAAAAGTGACGACAGCTTCACATATGGAGGACGGGTGGTTTTCAAAATGTGGCTCTCGCCTTAGCGCCGCACACAGTCGTTTTAAATATTTGCAAGAGATTCACGGATTGGGGGCTGGTGGTTTGCAACGTGTGGTTCTCGCGTCAGCACCGCGCGCATTCGTTCCACAAATTTACGAGAGTTTCACGGATTGAGGGCGGGTGGTTTTCAAAATGTGGTTCTCGCCTTAGCGCCACGCACATTCGTTTTAAACATGTGTAAGAGCTTCACAGATTTGGGGCGGGTCGTTTCCAAAATGTGGCTCTCGCCTTTAGCGCCGCGCACACTCGTGTTAAACATTTGCGAGAGTTTCACGGATTGAGGGCGGGTGGTTTTCAAAATGAGGCTCTCGGCATAGCGCCGCGCGCATTCGTTTTAAAAATTTACACGAGCTTCACGGATTGAGGGCGGATCGTTTTCAAAATGTGGGTCTCGCCTTAGCGCCGCACGCATTCGTTTTAAACAGTTGCACTAGTTTCACGGATTGGGGGCGGCTCCTTTTCAAAATGTGGCTCTCGCCTTAGCGCCGCGCGCGTTCGTTTTCAAACGTTGCAAGAGTTCCACGGACTCCCATGATCAACGTACCAGAAATTGTGTTTTGGAAGGATTCAGGATTATGCGGGTGCATCAAATATGTTGATTCGCGGTGTTGAAGTCCCAAACATGGCGCTCCGGCACGGTTCCAGGTCGTCGAGACGCAGCAGTTAGGTTGATACGTGGCGTTGAAACCCCGAGAACAAATATTTTGGCACTTCAGGATCTTCAAACGTTTGTCTTCCAACGAGGCAGTTCCCTCGATGGAAATGAACCGTTGGGGGGGCCTATGAAGCGGGAGCTTGGAGGGAGGGTTAATTCCAACATCGTTGATGACTCTTGGTTTTACACTGGTCCTCCTCCTCCTCCTCTTCCACCTCCTCTTCGTTGTCCTCCTCTTCCTCCTCTTCCTCCTCCTCCTCATCCTCTTCCTTCTCCTCCTTCTCCTCCTCTTCTTCCTCCCTCTCCCATCAGCAGCCCCCGCCCGCTCATTCTGCTTCCCCTCTTCCTGCCCACATGATTTCTTTATTCCTCACATCCCGTCCAATCTCCATCCTCATGCCCGCTCGTATTGTGTTGGCTTGGCTTGCGCAGCGAAGCTGGAAATCCCCTCCGACGTGGCATTTCAAGAAAAACAAAAGGAGGGTGCGCACGCGGGCAACGCGCATCCTGGTGCAGTCTTCCTGCGAATGGGCACCGCATCCTCAGCGCTTCAGCGCCGGCGTCCTTCGCCAGAGCTGTCCCCTGCTGCCTGCGGGACTGGCAGCGTGGAGCCCGCAAGACGGTGACAAGAAGCACCTTCGCGAGTGAGCTGATGGCCGCGACCTCCCCCACCGATCACGCCCTGGCGCTGACCGCCGCGCCCCACGAGGAGGCCAGAGGCGCGGCGCGTGCGCCGCGCGATGACAGCGGGACGGGCTGCAGGCTCCGGCTATGCAGCTCGAGCTCTGCGTGGACCCAGTGGGAGTCGTCGCCGTTGTGACGGCCACCAGGCCTAAGCTGCCGGCAGAGCATGCGTTGCTGCCGCAGTCGTTGTGGCTTCGCGACCTCCTGTGCTCGGTCCAGCTATCGGCCCTGAGCTTGGAGGACTCCCGAGACATGATCGCAGCTGGACTGACGCAGAGCAGGATCGATCGCGCAGTGCTCCACTCCGTCTCCAGCAGGCCGGGCAGGAGAGACAATCTTCCATGCACAGTCGCCCTCAAGGCCGCGAGCAAGTTCACCGTACAATCGGGCAGCGAGCGTCAGCCTGTGGAGGGCGGTGAAAAGCAGTGACATGTTCGACCGCCGTGCACCAGCTGGGCTTGGCCAAAACCTGCTTAACCTTCCTCGTCTCTCACCTGGAGATCCCACGCATGTTCTCTGCCCCCGTAACGGTTTGAGCGACCAGGCTGTCTCAAGCCTTGCGGTTTCTCCGGCTGCCGCGCGCGGCCGGCAGCCCCGCGCGCGCGCGGGCAGGCACTCCGGACGGAGGATCCGTGGGCGCTCCTCCTCCTCCTCCTCCTCCTTATCCTCCTCCTCCTCCTCTTCCTTGTTCTTCTGATCCCTCCTTGCTTGTTATTCCTTCTCCTCCTCTTCCTCCTCCTCCTCTTTTCCCTCCTCCCCCATCCCCCTCCTCCTCCTCCTCTTCCTCGACTTCCTCATCCTCATCCTCATCGCCCTCCTCCTCCTCATCCTCGGCCCTTCCCCTCATATCGTCCTCATCCTTCGCCTCCTCCCCTCTCTCCCTTTCCTCCTCCTCACCATTATCCTCATCCTTGCCCCCTCCTCCACCACTCATCACCACCCTCCTCATCCTTCCCCTTCCTCCTCCTCCTCCCTCTCCTCCTCCCTCCTGTTCCTCCATCCCTCTGCCTTATGAGTAATTCCTCCCTGTCGCGCCCCGAGACGTGTCGGTAGGGCGGGCCGGGCGTTTCGCCTGAGACGTCCGCCCCACGTATGATCCTTAAGCTTCAAATTTGCAACAGCTTCACGGATGGAAGGCTGGTCGTTGTCAAAATGTGGTTATTGTTCAAGCGCCGCGCACATTCGTTTTACAACGTTTCAAGACATTCATGGATGAAGGGCGGGCCGTTTTCAAAATGTGTGTTTTTCTTTAGCGCAGCGCGCATTCGAATTAAAAGTTTGCAAGAGCTTCGCGGATAGTATGCGGGCCGTTTTCAAAATAAGGTTCGCCTCAGCACCGCGCACATTCGGTGTAAAAGTTTGCAAGAGCTTCACGAGTGGAGGGCGGGCCGTTTTCAAAATGTGGTTTTCGCTCTAGCGCCGCGCACAATCGGTCTCAACAGTTCACAGCAGTTTCAAGAATTCTTGTGGGTGACGTCCCAGGAACATTGTTTTGGCACGATTTAGGATTGTCAGGACGCAGCGGTCACATTAATTCGCAGTGGTGGAATCGCAGGAATAGCATCCTGACACGATTCAGGGCCGCCGGGGTGCAACAGCAACGTTGATTCGCGGCTTTGCAGTTTCATGAACGGTTTCTGACAGGGCTCAAGATTCTCAGACGCTTGCCATCCAACGGGGAACTCCCTCTCTGTGACAATGCATCCTTGTAGGGATCTATGAAGAGGGAAACTGGAGGGAGGGTTGATTGCAAACTTGCTGGTGAGTATTGGTTTTACCCTGGTCCTCGGGAAACAAAACACACACACACACACACACACACACACACACACACTGTGGGACAAAACACACACTGTGGAACAAAAAAAACACTGTGTGTTTTTGTGTTTTTCCCCCGGTCTCCACTCGGCCCAGGGGGTGGTACGGGCCTGCGTCAGCCATCGTGGAGGACGGGGGGGGCTGCGGGGTCCACTGGGCTCCCACAGCTGAGGGACCCCCTCGAGCACATGGTTGTGGGAGCGCTTTGCGGATGTGTCTAATCTAATCGTCCCCCTTTCCTCCTCCTCCTCCTCCTCCTCTTCCTACTGCTCCTCCTCCTCCTCCTCCTCCTCCTCCTCCTCCTACTCCTACTCCTACTCCCACTCCTACTCCCACTCCTACTCCTACTCCTCCCCCCTCTCGCTGGGCGGGGCGCGGAGCGAGCGAGCGCGCACGCGGTCGGCCGCCCCGAGGAAGATCTGAGGCGCGAGCGCTCGAGAGAGCTGCGCTGAGTTCCGCGTGCACCCTGGGGGCCTCGCGGCGAGAGGAGGGGGAGGTGGAGGAGGAGGAGGTAGTGAAGGAGGAGGAGAAGGAGGTGGAGGAGGTAGTGAAGGAGGAGAGGGAGGTACAGGAGGAGGAGGAGGTGGTGGTGGAGGAGCAGGAGGAGAAGCAGGTAGAGATAAGGAGAGGGGAGAAACGACATGAATAGGATAAGGAATATTGTGATGATGATAATGGTGATGATGATGATGATGATGATGATGATGATGATGCTGATGATGATGATGGTGATGGTGATGGTGATGATGATGATGATGATGATGGTGATGGTGATGATGATGATGACGATGATGCTGATGCTGATGCTGATGATGATTATGAGTATGATGCTGATGATGATGATGCTGCTGATGATGATGATGATGATGCTGGTGATGATGATGAGGATGGTGGTGGTGATTATGATGATGATGACGATGGTGATGCTGAGTGATGGTGATGATGAGGAGGAGGAGGACCAGGACAAACAAAATCCTCATCGACGATGTTGCAGTAAACCCTCCCTCCAAATTCCTTCTTAAGGCACCTGCAAGGATTTATTTCCTCTCAGGGAAGTGCCCCGGAAGACAACCGCGTGACAGTCCTAAACCGTGCCAGACAGCACCAGTCTTGGAACTTCAGCGTCACGAATAAATACTCGTAACTGATGCGTATTCACGATTCTGAATCGTGCCAGAACACCATTCCCGGGACTCGGGCACAGCGAGCCAACGTAACTGTGACGCCCTGAGTCCTCTACAACACACCATTGCTGAGACGTTAGCCATGGGAGCCCTTGAAACTCTTACAACAGTTTCAAACCGCGGCGCTGAGGCGAGAACCACATTGTGAAAAAGCACCGCCCTCAATCCGCGAAGCTGTTGCAGATTTGTAAGACGAATGCGTGCGGCGCAACGGCGAGAACCACATTTTGGAATCGGGCCGCCCTCAATCCGTGAAGCCTTGCACTGTGTTGAGCCACGTGTTGAATTCGGACCGCCCTCAACCGGTGAAGCTCATGCAACTGTTTGAAGCGAATGCGCGCGGCGCCAAAGGCGTGAGCCACATTTGAAAATGGATCCCTTCCACCCGCGAAGCTCTCGCATGTTTGTAGGCTTGCTCAGGGAAGGGAAGACTCGGGCGAAGCGCCCAGCCCGCCCTCCCAACGGGCCCTGGGGGGGCGACAGGGAGGAGTTCCTTAGAAAGAGAAGGAATCATGGAGGAGGAGGAGGAGGAGGAGGAGTTGGAAAAGGCGGAGGTTGAGGCGGAGGAGGAGGAGGAGGAGGAGGAGGAGGAGCAAGAGGATGAGAAGGACAACGAGGCTGCGGAGGAGGAGGAGGTGGAGGAGGAGGAGGAGCACGAGGAGGGGCGGAGGAGGAGAAGAGAGAGAGGGGGAGGTCGAGGAGGAGGCGTAGGAGCAGTCAGATGAGAAGTAGGATGAGGCGGATTTAGCACATCGCGCCAGAGGCGTTTCTTTGCTTTCGGCTTCAAGGGGCCTGTCTCTGGCCCAGGGCCATCCGAAACCGATCCAGCATGGAAAGCGGGATCGGATCGACCCCGCGAAGAAGGAGGAGGAGGAGGAGGAAGCGGAGATGGAGGAAAAGGAGGGTCGACCACATCGAGCGGAATGTGTTTCGTAGTTTTAGCATTCGTGGGGCCAGGGACCATGCAATATCGATGTGGGATGAATTGGTGGACATTATGAACTCAGCGAGGGGTCCGTGGACAGGTTTTGGCACATGTTGCTCAAGCGGAGGAGGAGGAGGAGGAGGAGGAGGAGGAGGAGGAGGAGGAGAGGGAAGACGAATAAGAAAACAACGAAGATGAGGAGGAGGACGTGAGCTGGAATAGTCTTGGGAACTCGCATGAGCTCTATGGAGCTACACGGCCTCCACGGCACGGCGTTAGAAGGTGAACAACTCATGATGAGAGGGTTTTTCAAAAGGGTCTATGTGGTTCCACGGCGCCCTCGGTGTAGAGACCCACCCGTCCGATGGAGTGTTGCTTATCCCGAGCATCCTGTGGTGTTGGGTCATCGTTTTGAAGAGAGCGCCCCACGTCTCCTTCCTGTTCTCTCCTCCTCCCGCTCGTCTCTCCTCCCACCTTTGCGTCTGCCCTCCGCATGCCAACCACTTCAGTACAACCCTCACACGCCCCGTTTCGCCATAGAGGGAGCTCCACCTAAGGCCACAGTGGCAGGGTCCACATGCGTTCCCCCCGCCCCACTTCGGCACACCCCTCACACGATTCGTTGCCCTATGAGGGAGCTCCACCGAAGGCCCGAGTTGGAAGGTCCACATACGTCCCCCGCCCCATTTTGGGACGGTCCTCACACGGCTCGTGACCTCATAGGAAGCTCCACCGAATGCTTCAGTGCGAGGGTCCGCATGCGCTCCCCCTGCCCCATGTCGGCACCCCCCTCACACGTTTCGTGGCTCCATAGGGAGCTCCATTGAAGGCCCCACGATTCGGGGCCCCATAGGGCACTCCACCGAAGGCCCCAGTGCGAGAGTCCACATGCGGACCCCCGCCCAAGTGCGGCCCACCCCTTCACACGGTTCGTGGCCAAATGCGGAGCTCCACCGAAGGCACCAGTGGCCAGTGGGAGGGTCCGCATGCGCCCCCCTTCCCGCCCCACTTCGACACACTTCTCACACATTTTGTGGCTCCAAGGGGAGTTCCACTGAAGGCCCCAGTGCGAGGGTCCACATGCGTCCCCCCCCGATGTCGGCACACCCGTCACACGATCCGTGGCTTCATAGGGAAGCTCCACCGACAGCCCCAGTGCCATATCGGCACCCCTCGCACGGTTCGTGGCCCCATATAGAGTTGCACCAAAGGCCCCCGTGAGAGGGTCCACATGCGTCCCCCGCACTATGTCGACACAACCCTCACACTTTCGTTTATCATAACTGCATATGGTTTGTGTCCTTCGCCAGGTAATTGTTCAAACCGCAGGCCCCAGGGGTCTCGACGCCCTCTCCAGAAACAGTTGCTCTCTCGGGCCAATGTTTACGTGCGTGGGGCTCGAATTGCCACCACTTGCACTTTCCCAACCATCCTGTGGTGTTGGTTCCTCGTTTTGAAGAAACAGCGCCCCGCACCTGCTCTCCGCATGTCAACCAGTTCGGCACACCCCTCAAACGTTTCGTGGCCTCAGAGGGAGTTCCACCGAAGACCCTCGTGACCGCGGCCGCATGCGTCAGCGCCACCCAGTACAGCGCTTCGTGGCCCCATAGGAAGCTCCACCGAAGGCCTAAGTGGACCATTTTGGCTCAAGCGATCTCGCGGCCGCGCCTCCCTCCTCTCCTTGCGGGACCGCGGGATGGCGCTGCCTAGAGGGGCTCTCGCGGCGCCTGTGGACCTGGCGGCCTTGGTGGCTGTGGCGGTCCGCGGAGCCGTGGACGGCGGCGCGCCGCGCCGCACTGTCGCTGCCGTGGCACGCTCCGCCGTGTCGGCCGCCGCCTTCGCGGCGCGGCCGATTCCGCGGGAGCCTGCCGCCGCGGGCGGCGGTGTACGCCTTGAAGTGCCTGCCGACGCCGCTCCTCGCGCTTCCTCGGAGGCGCTGCGCGAGCGGCGGCGCAGGCGCCGTCAGAGGCGTGCGGGGCGGCGCGCACTGGAGCGAGGGGAGGCTGCGGCGATGGCGGATGCAGTGGTGGCGGATGGCCCGCCGCCCGCTGCGGTCCCCGCTGCCGCTGGCGGCCCCGACACGGACATCGACGGCGGCGACGACGTCGAGTTTGACGACGCCTGGGCGGACGAGGCCGTGCCGCGGAGGCGCAGGCCGCGTCGTCGGCGGGCGCTACCGGAGGCGGCTGCTCCGGGTGCGGCGGCGGCGGCGGCGGCAGGCGCGGGCGTCGGCCCGCCTGCCGAAGCGGCGGCGGCTTCCTTGGGGCTCCCTCTGGGCGCTGGGGGCGGCGGGGGCGGCGGCGGGCCCGCGCTGCCCGTCGGCGAGCTGGCGGCCCTGGACTCCTCCTTCGAGGCGTGCCAGGGCGCGCGGGCGGCCGCCGACGACGCCCTGCTCCGCGCGCAGCCTCCGCCTTCGGAGGCGATGCGCGAGGAGGTCCAGCGCATGCTGGACCTGGTGCTCCCCCACTAGGTCCTCGCGCTTGCGGGGGTGCCGCCCCTTCGGGGGGTCTAGGCCCCGCTCCGCCCTACCCTTCGGCGGTGGGGCTCGGCCTGGCGGCCGCCGCGCTCGCGCTCGGCGGCCTCGCGGGCCTCGCGGGCGACGGCGCGCCCCGCTCTAGGCGCGGGCGGCCGCGGCGCCCTCCCTCGGCATCCTCGGCCTCGCGTTCGCGGTCGTGGACGGCCAGGGCCTCCTGCTGGCTGGCGCGTCGGCGGGAGCTCGCGGACCCGAGGGCCGCCCTCGGTCAGCCTACACCTTAAAAAAGAAGAAGGCCTAAGTGGACGTTCTCGCATGCCACCCAGCACAGCGGTTCGTTGCCCCACAGGGAGCTCCACCGAAGGCCCTAGTGGCAGCGTGCCGCATGCGTCCGCGCCATCCACTACGGCGCTTCGTGGCCCCATGGGAAGCTCCACCCACGGCCTCAATGGCCGCGGCCGCATGCGTCCGCGCCACTCAGTGCAGCATTTCGTTGCCCCCCTATGGAGCTCCACCGAAGGCCCCAGTGGCCGTTGCCGCGTGCGCCTCCCCCACCTATTACAGGACAACCCTCACGAGCTTCGTGGCCCCATTGGGAGCTCGTCGGGCCTTTCACCAGGGTAATTTTTGATACGCGTGACTACGTCTGGATATATACGCATGCAATTTCAGACACAGCCCCCCCCAAAAAAAACCGCGGATAAGAATCCGGGGGCGTCCGGGTCGTCGGCAGCCTGCGAAGCTCTGAAATCACCCGCCGCAGGCGCCGATGTTTCTATATATTGCACAAACAACCTGCCGCCAGCGCCGATTTGTTCGTCAAAGCAACGTGGGTGGGTCACGGGTGTGTCGCAGCGTCGGTCGCGGATGGGTCGCGGGGGGGTCTCGGGGTAGGTCGCGGGTGGGTCGCGGGCGGATCGCGGGCGCGGACGGCAGCAACAACGCAGCACCGCAACCACGCAACGCAGCAACGCAAAACCGATCCGCACCGCAGAACCCCACTTCAGCCACTCACCCAGGGACAGTGAATGACCGTTCGGCCCCCAAACTCTTTGATACATTGACAAATCTGTTCGTGCGTATATATATATATATATATATATAATACAGATGCGTGCATCGATATACACATTGTGGACCCCAGACAATGACTTCTTGCACACTATGCGGTGCAATCTAGGTGGCGGAGTCCCTGTGGTGCAATATGAGTCATGCAAAGCAACGCAACGCAATGCAAAACCATGCAGCGCAACGCAAAACCATGCAAAGCAATGCAACGCATTGCAACGCAATGCTACGCAATGCATCGCGATGCAACGCAATACAAAGCAGTGCAAAGCGCAACACAAACTAGTGCCGCGCAGTGCAACGCAGTGCAACGCAATGCAAAGCAATTGCATTCGTAGCAAAGCATTGCGAAGCAATGCGCAGCAGGTCAAAGCCATGCAATGCAGCGCAATGCAATGCAATGCGAGTGCAATCCCATGCGATGCGACCGCAGTGCAGTGCGATGGCGGGGCACTGCAATGCAATGCGATTGCACTGCGGCGTGGGGGGGGGGGTGCAACGGGGCGGCGGCCACGGGCAGGAGCTGAGCGCGCCGCTGGGAGGAAACATAGCGTGGCGACGGACGGGAACGGGGCCGCTGGGGCGGTACGCGGGCCCGGCTCTGTAGAAGGCAAGGAAGAAGCCCTAAGAGCAAGCATTGCCAGGGGAATCTGTGTATATATATATATATATATATATATGGTAGGGGCGGTTCCCAAGATCTGTGTTTTATTGCCGCAAAATGGCAAGATTTTCTTCGTCGACGCCCCTGCCATCCTCCCGCCCCCTGACCCCAGGCAAATGACTCTACGTGACGCAGCCGTCGCACTGGCTCTGGGCACCCTGAACATTTCCCAAACAGTGCTTGCACTTAGGGCTCCTTTCTTTGGCTTAACCATCTCAGGACCGCTGCTGGCTTTTGCGGGAGGTGCCGCCAGTCGCCGTCCGTCGCCGCCGCCCGTGGCTCTTACTTGTCTTAACCACATAGAGTGCACCACATAGATTGCGTTACATAGGTTCCATCGCACAGTTGCACCACATAGATTGCACCGCATAGTTTGCAAGAACCTACTGTTTGGGGTCTACGCTGTCTAACAGACTATGGCAGAAACTATCGCCAGCATATCGAGACGAAGCTAGCGACCATGTGCATCCTGACGGCACTTCAAACGGAAGAAGAGGAAGGAGGATGAACAGACAGGGGGAAAGGAGCGAAAGCAAGCCCCCTCTTCTCTGTCTCACTAATGTCTCCTGACTTCCCTTTTTACGACAGATCCCCTGAGAATCGTTTCTGGATGGGCTGATGAAGATACGTAAACCGTCGATGCAGTAGACCCACGACGGTGATGGAGGCGGCGCGGGAGGCCCGAAACCAACAAAACATGAAGAACAATCAGAACCACATGAAACAAACATCCCCCAGGCAAAACAAATCAACGAAATCCAGGCCCCGGCTGGTTTTTGGCAGCAAGTCCAAAAGAAAACCTAAAAGAAAACCTAAGGCTTTCATCAGTTTCTTGTCCGAAAATCACTCGGGGCCTGGGTTTCGTTGATGTTTTGCCTGGGGCGTTTGATTTTCCTGGTTGTTCCTTAGGTTTTGACTGTTTTTCATGTTTTTGTTGGTTTTCGGCTCCCTGGCCGTCCCAGCGCCGCCTCCACCTCGCCCTCAGAGGAGGCGCGGGAAGCCCGAAACCAACAAACACAGTAAATCAATCAGAACCAACGGGAAAACAGGAAAATCAGAGCACCCAGGCAAAACAAAATCAACGAAATCAGGGTCCCGAATGGTTTTCGGATGGGAAGCATTGAAAAAACATTCGGTTTTCTTTGGCTTTCTGTCAAAAACCAGTCGGGGCTTGGATTTCGTTAATTGTTTTGCCTGGGTGCTGTGATTTTCATGTTTTTCCTTTGGTTTTGACGGATTGTGTTGTTTTGTTGGTTTTCGGCGCCCTGCCCCTCCCCCAGCGCCGCCTCCACCTCACCCCAGAGAAGGCGCGGGGGATGCAGAAACCAAGAAAAACAGACAAATCTGTCAAAACCGAAGAAAAAAACAGGGAAACCAAAGCCTCCAGCAACAAAAATCAACGAAATCTAAGCCCAGAGTTGTTTTTTTGCAGAACAGCGAAAGAAACCACAAGGTGTTTCAATGTTTTCATCCGAAAACCACTCGGGGTTTAGATTTCGTTGATTTTTTTGCTGGGGGCTCTGATGTTCCTGGTTTTCCCACTGGTGTTGGGTGATGTTACTGTTTTTGTTGGTTTTCGGCGCCCTGCCCCCCACGCCCAGGCTGGGGCGTCTGCCTGGGGTGGAGTGGTTGGTCGATTTGAAAGCGGAGAGAGAGAGAGGAGAGAGAGAGAGAGAGAGAGAGAGAGAGACCAAAAACAGGAGGGAGGGACGGAGGGAGGGAGAGAGAGAGAGAGAGAGAGAAAAAAAAAAAAAAAGATAGAGAGACAGAACATTCGATTTCAAATATCATCGTTGCACAAACATGCAAACACAGATCTTGGGAACCGCCCCTACCACATGTATGTATGTATGTATACGCATGTATGCATGCATGCATGCATGCATACATACCTACATACATACGTACGTACGTACACACCAAGAGCAGCAACAAACAGCAAACGAGGGACGCGATGCGGGATTGGAGGAGGAGGTTTGCGGGGGAGGGGGGCTCGGCGAAGGAGGTCAGCGGTCGCCCCCTGCGCCCCTGCGGCTGGGTCCGAGGAGTGGGCGCATTGGGGCTTGCCGTCCAGGCGCGGCTGGCTGCTGCCTGGGGCCTCCCCGCGAGGTTCGAATTTGTTGCGGGGTCGCTGAGACGGCGTTCAAAAGTCCAGCCCGTTTGGCACGGAGGTCTGCTACCTTCGGGACAAGGTTGCGGAGTGCACTGGGGGAGCGCCTGACCGATCCTGGCCGGGCCGATCCTATGCCTCGCTGGCCGAGCCAGGAGGGGCGAAGATGGCGATATCTTGTGTCCAGGATGGGCCTGGCCAGGGTCGCTGTGCATGTATGGCTGTGGCGTTCTACAAGGCTCGTCAAAAGAAAGTCGATGGTTTCTGTGCTCGGCGCTTGCGCGGTCGGCGCTACTCCAATGCTGGCATGAAGTCTTCGGCCCGCACGCGGGGGTGCCCGAAAACCTGGCAGTGCCCTCGCAGCATTGAAGATCGCGTTTTCTGACAAGTAAGTGCCCGAACTATCGGGTCTCAAGTTATTTTGGACGAGGCTTCTAGGTCGCCAAGGAAAGACCCAGCAGACCTTCCCGACTCCCAAGAGAGAGGCCCGGGAGCCGGTGGATGTTCTGATTCTCTTCAGGCCCGAGGGGCACGCCATGCGGTTCCAATCGGGACCCCGGGGAAAGGGACTCCTGAGACGGACGATGCCGACGTCTCGAGTCCGCCCGGCTTGGCCCGCAGGGTCGTCGCACAACGCGCTCGCTCGCGCTGCGAGGTCTCAGACGCAGCGCCGCGGTCTCAGAAGCCCCCGTCGCTGGCGCCCCCGTCGGACACGCGTCGGCATGGTCGGCCGTGCCTCTGGCCCTCGGGCACCGAGGGTGGCAGACCCCGACGTCCGACGATGTTCAGGAGGGAAAGAAACACACAGACACAAGTAATCGTCGATTCCCAAGAAATATGGGAAAATATGGGAAGTGGGGGGAAGACAAAACCCCTGAAGATATAGGATTTTTTATATTTATATATATATATATAGATATGTATGTATGTATGTATGTATATATAATTAGTTGTGTGTATTTATGTTTGTGTGTCCTGGCGCCCCTTCAGATGTGGGTTTTGTCTCGATCCGCGGCCCCCGAGCCTCCGACGCCTTCCCTTTGGGGGGGGGGGGGGCAGCTTCTCCTGCCGGGTACGTGTGGCCCCCCGGGGCCCGACGCCGGCACCCCGGCGGCCGCGTGCGGAGGAGAGCGGCGCAGAGGGCTGCGAGGAAAAGAGCCCGCCACAGGTTGTGGAGCATACAGGGAGCATCCACAGGAAGGACGGGCCAGCTTCCCAAGGGCACCCTGTCGCAGGCCTAAAGGTTGACACCAACACCAATTTCGGCGGTGTGACTCCACCGAGGGAAGCAAGATCCCGATCTCGGTGATGGTGGTAACATTCTGGTTTCCAGGGTGGCCGAAATTTTACCACCAACACCGAAATCTAGGATCATCTTCCCCATGTGGAGGCAGCCCTCTGTGTTGGTGTTGGTGTCAACTTCCAGGCCTCAGACCCTGGCGTCCTCAGATTTCTTCGGCAGTGCGCCGCTGGAAAAGCTTCAGTTGGGGCGTCTAAGGACCGCCCAAGGGTCCTTGGGTCCTTCCAGCGCGACCTTACTACGGATTCCGATGGTACTGGCCGCCTCGTGAGCAGCTGTTGGTCGAAGTCCATAGCTCGTGAAGGGCTTGACGATTTCTGCTGCCCTTCGACTCGTGCTGGCGCTTCCACGATTCCCCCAGAGTTTTGTCTGGGTATGTTTCGGTGTACTTCGATCTGTACTTGTATCGGCTTGCGTAGATCAACGGCGAGCCCGTGGGAGGAATGAGAGGGGGCGAGCCTTAGGCTCGGAGGGCGTCGGGCCTTCTGACAAGTGTGTCAAGCCCTCTTCGGATGCACAGAAGACTGATCAAAACATCGGAGGCCTCCTGTCCGTAGCCATTTTGGCTCAAGCCGTTCTCTAGCGCAGGCCATCTTGGCTTCACGCCGTGACCCTGCGGGCGCCCATCTTCGCGCCAGTGCGCCACAGGGCACCCATGGGAGATGCTCAGGCACACAGCGCCCGGCATGAGCGCCAGAAGCTGCTCAGGCAGAAGTCCGTGGGCGGCGACAGGGAGGTCAGGTGGCTCGATGAAGCTAGCAAGTCGCCTGCCGCCCAGCGCATAGACATGCTGCTGGCAACGGTCACGTCTGAGAAGGAGTGCGAGCAGTTGAAGAGAGAGGCTTTCAAGATGGTCTACGATTCCTTAGGCCAGGAGTTGGAGGGCAAGGACCTCGAGCGCGTTGTGGTGGTAAGGAACGAGACAGCTGGGTTTAAGTCCACGATCTTCTTCGCCATCATCACGCTTGGTCTGTACCTAGTTTTTGGAGGGCACGATGATGACATCATACTGGTTCTCACGAGGCAGGGCAACGTCCTCCAGTTGAAGATTGACCGACCCCTTTGCTGTCCAGGGACTTCTGGTGAGGTCTTTGCTAGCTTCGTCAAATACATGGGCATGTTGTTCGTAATTGTTGGGTTGCCCAACATCTTGTTCATGCTGGCCATGAACATAACATGGCAGGAGGAAATTGCGATGCTGAGAGCGGAGACAAACGACTTCAAAGACATCCCTGCGCTCATAGAGAAAAAGCTCCCATTTGTCATTTGCTCGTTGGTTCTCTTATCAATGTGGTTGTACAGCCTGCTGCCACACGGTTACATGGACGAACATCGCCGACGGCACATGGCCCGAGAGTGCACCACCGCACAAATGTGCCAGTGGGGCCACATGTTTCGACGGCGCAGCAGTCTTCATCTGCATTTCGGCAAGTATCCGAGCCAGCATGTTCTGGATCTGCAGGGCAGCTTGGGTATCGGCCACGCTGTGGGCACAGTCCCACCCGCATCGCTCTCATCAGTCTCTGCTGGCATGACCTCTTCCACGCTGATTGTCAGTCTGACAGTGTTCTTGACTTGCGTCACGGGAATCGAGACCGCGTTTTCGTGGACGGACCGCGCCATTGCTATGGAAGACTTCGCTGTGATGCAGACTTACTGCATCGAGGGCTCGGGCCCTACAAAAGAGAAGTGCAACAGGGACCACTGCGAATCGTACCTCGTGCATGGCCACGACACAGTCAACCCTCACTTCTGCAACCTTGTGCAAGTAACTGACTCTGAAACCACATGTAAACAGTACAACAAGTCGCCGCCTTGTTGTGGCGGTTGTGCCAAAGGTGCTTTCGAGGGCATATACGACGAGGGCACTTTAGGGAATATCAAGACCATCATCAGTTTGTGTTCGGACACTGGTACCATTCTCTTTGCTCTTCTGGCCGCTAAGCACGCAATCAGTATATCACGAGCCACAGACCAAATTTCAGTTACGATCAGTCGACGGACAAAGCGGTCTTACAAAACTATGACTGCCAACACTGCTCTCACAGCGGTTATGGCAAATGATTTTGCTCAGACCATCATGAACCAGGCTTCAAAAGATCGCGGCATTGGCCATAGTTTCGAGGCAAAGGAGGGTGATGGAAACAGTTGGACTGGCGTCAGGAATTTCGTGATGACCGACGAGTTCGACACTTGGAAGGACTTTTTCAATAAGGACCTCACTGCTGTGCCAGACACCCGTTGGACTTTAAGGCTTGAGGTGCCGAGGAAATTGTTGGGCATCGAGCAGGACGAGGAAGTGATAGCGGGCTGGATTGAGATGCCACTGCTACCTCCAAGCATCAGCCTCATGGATATTATGATGGGCAAGATCTGGTACTTGATGCTTCCATTTGGAAAGACCCGCCATGCAGTAGTTGTCACCGATCGCCGCTTGTTCTACGTGCGCCATCGGAGGCCCTTCTTGCCAATTAAGTGCCTTGGAACTGATCTGCGCGTCGATGTCTTCAGGCACGACCACGACGTCTGCTACGGCAAAATGGTCCGGCACAAACTCAACACGCCGCAGCGATTCATACACCAGGTCCTCCTGCAGGAGAAATTTCTTCCTGGCACAGCCGTAATGCAGACCAGATTCGGAGCCCTACAGCTCTCACGCAACCACGGGGACATCGTCGGTGTGTATAATGTGGTTATGAGCTTGTCCAGGCACGCTCCAGAGTTTATTACAGAGCAGCACTTGGCCGAGAACGGCGTGGTCCCAGCGGCTTGCCAAGCAATCGTTGACCATGCCTTTGTTAGGACCAGCGATAAAGAAGGAAACCTCTTCACCATCCGTCCGCAGTCAGATGACACAGTTCAGCCGCAGCCAACGCTGCACTTGGCAAGCGGAAGCAAGGAAAAGATGCTATTCCACCTCTCTGTGAAGAATACAACCGACATATATTCCAAGTGTTATTCCAACCTGGACATAGCCATCACATCGGCCCGTGTGTTCTTCTGGAAGAGAGATTGCTACAAAAAGTTTGATTGCTGCGCTTTACCCTGCTGGTGTTTTGTATGGCTCGGCTTCATGAACAGAATCAACAATCCGATCAATTTGCACAACGAGATGTCCTTCATGACTTTGCCCTCGATCCTGAGCTTCTCGACCGACGCCAGCGTGGTAAGCCCCTCGTGGCTCGTGCCGCATCACATGCCCCTCAAGTGGCCCTGCGTTGAGATGCTGTGCGCGCACCTCACGCGCCTGGCGGTGCGCGGCGACTACGATGTCAAGAGCCGCTCGCAGTGGGTGATCTGTCCCAGGAGAACCGGCCCAAGCTCTCACCTTCTCCTTCTGTGGAGGCTCAAGGCGAGCGCTTATGCGGAGACCGAGATGTACGTTGCGCACGAGGTGAAACCATTCATCTTCAGCGGCATGCCCGACGCGGATGCACAGGACATCTTCGACGGTATCGGCTACATCGCCGAGGACGGGGCAGCGGTTGAGGAGTTGATCTCTGCGCAGGCCGAGGATCTGGAGACCCTGCGCAAGATCATGTGCACGGTTCAGGATTCTTGCCACCGGCTGCTCGACGAGGTGGACGTCCTCGGAGGCGGAATCGCCTGAGGCCTGCAGGGGCGGCGGCGCCCACGAGCACTGGCCACCCGTCACCCTCTACGTCAGATCGAAGTTCGGGGTTCGAAGATCGAGAATCACTAGGCACCCTACAGTTTTTTATCCAGAATCGCCACGCCAGATCTTCTGGTTAGCATGGATTCCCCTCTTCCTCCTTCCCCTTCTCTTCCTCCTCCGCCTCCTCCCCTCCTCCCCCCTTTTTCTTTCTCTCTCTCTCTCTCTATCTCTCCTTCCTACCTTCCTTCGCTCTCCTCTCTGCGCAAAGTAGTTCGGAAGAGCAGCACCCCAGCATGCAGCGGGCCTGTAGTACCAGGGCCGCGCGGCTGTGCTCACGGGCACGCTGCCGCGTGCCTCTGTTCACCGTGGTGGTACCGCAGCCGTGCGGCTGCGACGGCACCCGCCCGCCAATCTTCCGTTCTGGGTCGCGTGGTCCCGTGTGTGTTGTTGCCGGGGGTTGCTCCCTGGCCGGGTGGCGATTGCGAAGCCACCGGGCGGCCTTCGGTTGTCCCGAAAGCGGGCCTGAGGCGGTCCACAAGAAGACCGTTTCCGGCGACCCCGAGTGCGTCTCTCGGCGGCCTCAGGGCGGCCGTAGGGCGGCATTGGGCTGCCAGAAAATCAGTTTCGGTACCTCGATGTCGATGCCAGACGATCGAAGGCAAACAAAAAAAAATCGGAGGTCTCCTGAGAAGCCCCGCCGCCTTTTGAGGAGGCCTGCTCCTTCTCACTTCCCCCCAGGCGCGCCGCCGAGAGCAGTCAAACCGCATAGTAGGGATGGGCAACTTTCTTAAGGGCACCCTTGCATCCTTGCCCCTCCGGCCCATATTTCGCTGGCCAACCTCGCTCGGAAGACGTTCACGTGGCCCTCCAAGGCCCTTGCATCCTTACTGCGCCTCCTTATGCTACGGGCTGGCTGTGGACGTACCTCGATGTGCCTGGCGTGATCCCTGCAAGCCGGCTGGCGCAGAGTCGTCAAGCCCTTCGGGGAGCACCACTCAGGAAGGAAAAAAAACACAGACACAATTCATCGTCGACTCCCAGGAAAATACGGGACAATATGGGACGTGGGGGGGAAGACAAAAACCCAGAAAATATAGGAAAATGTGGGGGATGGGGGGGAAGGCAAAAACCCAGGAAATGTGGGAAAACATGGGGGATCCTTTTACTTGTGTGCATTTACTTGTGTGTCCCAGGGCCCCTTCGGTGTGGACGGCCCGGCCGCCCGAGCCCCGCGGAGGCGGGGCGGCGTCGCGCGCACCGCACGGCCCACGAAGAAGAGCGGGGCCTCTTCGAGCCCGTGCCGTCCTCCTCCCCGCAGTCTGGGCGGACCGCAGTTTCGAACCTCGCCGCTCGAGCCACATTTTCGGCCCCGTCGGGGCCCCACACATATACGTATATATATATATATATGGTCGATCCCCCCCCAGCGACCCCCCAGAGCGCCCAAAGCACGAATACACAACTCAACTTTGGCCTGCCATCCAGGCTGACGAACTCATCCGCTCGGCCCATCCGTCACGGGCACCGTGCGCGCAAGCATATCGGTTTCGGCCGAGGCCACGAAACACTGTGTATCACAGGTTTTTCTGGTTTTTCTGGTCTGGGAACCAACGAAACACTGCGTATCACAGGTTTTTCTGGTTTTTCTGGTTTCTGGAGCTGAAATGCTCGCCGCGGCCTCGCCCCACCGCCCCCCCCTCCTGTTTGTCGGCACCTGAAAACCAGAAAACCAGAAAAACATGTGATACACAGTGTTTCGTGGCCTCCGAGCAAGAAAACACTGTGTATCACAAGTTTTTCTGGTTTTTCTGGTCTGGGAACCAACGAAACATTGTGTATCACATGTTTTTCTGGTTTCTCTGGCTTCTGGAGCTGAAATGCTCGCCGCGGCCTCGCCCCACCGCACCCCCCCTCCTGTTTGTCGGCGCCTGAAAACAAGAAAAACCAGAAAAACCTGTGATACACAGTGTTTCGTTGGTTCCCAAACCAGAAAAACCAGAAAAACATGTGATACACAATGTTTCGTGGCCTCCGAGCAAGAAAACACTGTGTATCACAAGTTTTTCTGGTTTTTCTGGTCTGGGAACCAACGAAACACTGTGTATCACAGGTTTTTCTGGTTTTCCTGGCTTCTGGAGCTGAAATGATCGCCGCGGCCTCGCCCCACCGCTCCCCCACCTCCTGTTTGTCGGCACCTGAAAACCAGAAAAACCAGAAAACCTGTGATACACAATGTTTCGTTGGTTCCCAGACCAGAAAAACCAGAAAAACCTGTGATACACAGTGTTTCGTGGCCTCCGAGCAAGAAAACACTGTGTACACGAGGGGGACACGAGGGGACAACAGGGGACACGAAGGGAACCATTCAAGTCTTGGAACATTTCGTTGCTACGGTTTGCCCCCCGTCAACCTTCTGCTCCGAACGTTCTCCAACAGGGAGAGGACCAGGAGGAAGAACAGAAGGTGGAGGACGAGGGAGGAGGGAGGAGGAGGACGAGGAACAGGAGAAGCAGGAGGCGAGGGGGGAGATGGAAGAGGAGGGGGAGGATGAGGGAGAGTAAGATGAGGAGGAATACTTCTCGGGTCACAGCCCGCTGTGACAGACCATGTGTCTGCGGCTGTTCGGTGCCAGCATCTCAAGACCGCGGCTTCGTGTTTTGGGCGTTTTGGGGGGTCGCTGGGGGGGGGGGGACCGAGCATATATATATATATATATATATATATATATAGATAGAGCTTGCTGGATAGTTTTCGGAATGCCAGGTCTCTCATCCAGCCTCGTCTCGACGTCCGTGCTCCTGGAATTGGCTGCCTTTGATGTTCTGCCAGCCTCTCTTTCAGGATTCACGCTCGTAATCATTTTGGCTCAAGATCGCCTGGCGGCGATCGGAACGGGCGCCGCGACGAGCCACTCCCAGGTCGCAGTCTGCGCGCGATCAGCCCTCTTCGCTGGCTCGGCGGCGCTGCTCTGGAGCCAGGTGGCCTGGCATCTGGCGAGCTGGGCTGCTGGGCACTTCGGGCCTGAGGCGGCTCGGGTGCTAACTGTCGCGGGGGCGCGAGGCGTCGCCGCGCTGGGCGAGGCCGCCCACGCTGCCTCTTGCTGGGGCTGGCGCGCGCTGCAGGCGGCAGCGACCTTCGCGAGCTCCTTGCTTGCTCTCGCTTGGGAGCATCGCGGCTGGCTGGCACGGGGAGCCCGAGCCGCCTGGACGCGTGGCCGCGCGGCGCTTGGGGCTGCTTGGGCTCTGGGCGCGCAGGCCGTCGGAGGGCTCCGTGGCTGGAGGGCGGCCCGTCGGGCCGACCGCGCACGCGCTCGCGAGCTCGCAGCCGCTTCAACCGCTCTCGAGTACGCCTTGGTGGAGATGGCGCTTGCAGGTGGCGTAGCCGTCGGGGCGGCCGACCCTTGCTGGGTGCTGCTTTCCCGCGGCGGCGAGTGGGACGAGGTCCTGGTCTTCGGGCAGGTACGGGGCGCAGACTACAGCCTGGGCTTGACGACGGACGCGACGGGGGTCACGTTCATCTGGGTGCTGGTGCGCCTGTTGCCAGGGCATTTCCGCGCTGTGGTCGTGCCTGGAGGGGGAGCCCTCCGCATGCCGCCGTTTGGCGTTGCTGGCGCCCAGGCCAACTGGGTGTGCGAGCCGCCGCACGCCGCGGTCCAGTGGGACCCGAGTGTGGCCGAGCTTGCCGCGCTGCGCTTGGAGGCCCAGGGCGTGGACGCGGCCCTGCAGACTTTCGCGCTGGCGCCGGGGGCGATCTTCGACGCGGGCTCGCAGGCGGCGTCGATCCCCGCCTTCATGCCAGTGGGGGGCCCTCTGCCACCCGCAGGGGGCGGTGCCGTCGTGCCAGCAGCAGCGGGAGCCGCGGGAGCAGCAGCGGCGCCCCCACCCGCAGGCGCGGTTGCGCTACCCGCCGCGGGCGCGGCGGGGCCCGCGGCTGCCGCGGGTCTGGGTTTCGGCGCCGTGGGAGCGCCCGACGGGGCAGCAGCCGCCCCAGCAGCGGGCATCGATCTGGCTTCACTGCTTCAGGAGGTCCGCGCGATCCAGGGCCAGTTGCAGGATGGAGGCGGCAAGAGCAGCAAGCGAGAAAAGAAAGACAAGAAGTCTGCCACCAAGAAGAAGAAGAAAAAGAAGAAGAAGAGGTCCGACTCCAGCGGCTCGTCAAGCTCGAGCGACAGCAGCTCCTCCAGCAGCAGCGAGTACCTGCGGTGGCGCGGGCCCAAGGCCAAGAGCCATCGGGTCGACCCCGCCCAGGAGCGCAAGTTGGAGACCGAGAAGTTCAAGGCCAAGGGCGACCTCCTGGCGTTCGCGGCGAAGCACCCGGGCGCGCTCTCGGGGTACTTCCTGGCGATGGTGCACCGCAAGCTGAGCCACGGGCGCTTGACGGAGACCAAGCAGCTGAGGCGCGCGTCGGTGACGACGTGGGCGCAGGCGCACTCGGGCTTGACCGAGCTGCGGGACCAGCGCGAGGTGCAGACGTTGGCGCTCGTCATGGACTTGATCAACGCGCAGGACCTGGCGACCGCGATGGACGTGCTGGCGCAGCGCATCATCGCGATCCAGCGGGCGAAGGCCAAGGGCGGCTCCTGGGAGAAGGCAGAGGCCGCGGAGCTGCTAGCTGGCACGGGGGGCGGGGTCGCTGCAGGCGGCCTCTTGAAGCTCACCATGTGACGAGGTGGCGGAGGGCGCGGCAGAGGTGGCTGCGCCGCGGGGGCCAGGAGTGCACGTTGGCTTCCGTCTTGGTCGGTCTGGGCGACTGGCTGAGCTTCGCTGGAGGGCCGCTGGGGCTGCCACTACGCCGTGGGCACCTCGTTCGGCCGCGTGTCGTGGAGTTCGGGAAGACCTCGCCAGGCATCTTCCCAGTCCCTCTGCTGCGGCGTGGTGACGCCGAGCTCGCAAAGTTCGGGCGGCAGCATCGGGGCGCAATTTTGATTTGGGCGAACATGTGCATCGTCGCGCTCAACGATCTGTACGACGGAGACGGCGACTACACCATGTTGCCGACGCAAGCCCAGCGACGTGTGCAAAGGCGCATGCTGATGGGCGTCTCCCGCTTCCTCGCGGCCGAGTTGGCTTGGCCAGAGGCGGCGACAATTCAAGAGGTCCTGCGTCACTCCGACGGCTACGAGCCGTCCAGGTGCGTCGCGGAGCCCCTCGGCGAGCGTGGCGGAGTGCCAGACCGCGCCGCCGTCGTCGACCTGGCTGGGCTGCTGGACGAGCACTTTCCTGGGCTTGCTCATCAGGTGCGCTGCCCTCGATCGCTGCTCCTGAGCGTGGATCGGCGGCCCGCCAGGCTCAAGAGGCCTCACACGCTGGTGGGGCCCACCTACCCCAGTCTCGTGGCGCGCAACGTGGCGGCGGGCCTGCAGGGGTACGGCTCCAAGAAGAGGGTGCGCAAGCATCGTGGGGTTGCTCTCGTGGCTGGGGCGTTCGGCGTGAAGAAGTCAGATACGGAGCAGCGGGTGATCTCGGACCTGCCAGTGAACCAGCTGCTCAACCCTGACGCTCTCCCTCGGCCGACCTTCGCGTACCCGCCGCGGTTCCGTGTGGTGAAGACGCTGCCAGGCATGCGGGTCAAGCTGTGGAAGCGGGACCTGCGCCACTACTTTCACCAGCTGGCGATCGGCAAAGCCTGGCGGAAGTACATGGCCCATCCGCCCGTGCCTGACCCGCGCGGAGGGAAGGGGGAGGTGTTCCCGTTCCACCACGCGACGCCGATGGGCTTCGCGCCGCCGGCGGGCTGGGCACAGGCGGCTTCCGACACCGCTTTCCTGAAGGCAGGGCTACCCCAGGAGCGCAGGGTGACGTTTGACCAGCCCTGCCCCACCGAGCTGCCGCTCTGGGGGTCCATCATTGACGACCTCTGGGCGCTGGACGCGCGCTCTGCAGGCGACCGCGCGCGGAGCCAGGCCGACTTCTGGATGACCAAGGCCGAGCGCGCCTGGGACCGCTTGGGAGTTCCTGTGCATCACGGCAAGTCCGTGGACGGCGGCAGCGGCGAGTTCCAGGGCACCGAGGTCCACCCCACGGAGCACTGGCTGGGTACCACTCGCCGCCGCCGCGTGGACCTCTTCGCGGCCACCCTCGCACTTCTGGGCCAGCAGCTGGTCTACCGCAAGGACGTGGAGCGCTTGGTCGGGAAGCACGGTTTCTGCCAGAGTTATCGGCCCTGCTTGCGGTCAAACTTCTCTCAAGTCTATTCTTGGCTGGAGCGCCTACCCTTGCAGGGGCGCAAGCCCGTGGCGTGGTGCCCGTTGGCGTGGCATGAGGTGCTGATGTCGGCTATCCTGCTGCCGTTCGCAGAGCAGGACCTGGATGCGGACTGGTGCCCGCGCGTGGAGTGCACTGATGCCGCGCCAGGAGGGCATGGCCGCGCCTGGGCGACGCTGCCGCTGGAGTCGGTGCAGCACATCGCCAGGTGGGCTGACCATCGGGCGCCCTACACCATGCTCGGTGACGGCTTCGGGGTTGACGTGGACGTCGAGGGGCGCTGCAGCCTGGCCCGTGTCACGCTGCCGCCAGTGGGCCACTGGTTCAAGGTGGGCAGGCCAGGCGGCTATGAGCACATCACGCTTGAGGAGGCGCACGCGAAGCTCTGGGGCATGGAGGCCCGTCTGCATCGGCCCTCTGAGCTGGGGAAGCGAGTACTGCATGCTGGAGACAACGCCCCGTGCGAGGGCGCCTTCATCAAGGGACGCAGTGCCAGCCGCAGGCTCAACCGGCGCTGCCGCCGTGGGGCGGCTATCGAGCTCGCGGGCGGGTTCTCGCACTTCCACTTCTGGATCTCGACAGGCAAGAACCCCGCCGACGAGCCCAGCAGCTGGCACGGGTCACGCCAGGCGCGTGGCGGCAGGCGCAAGCCGCCTCAGCCGCTGCCCCGCCAGGAGGTGATCCCGCTGGCGCCAGCAGGGTGGGCATCTCGCGAGAAGCTCTTCCTGCACTTCTGCTCTGGGCCCAGGCGCGAGGGCGACCTGTGCGAGATGGTCGAGCTGGAGGCGCGCGAGGCTGGCCTGGTGGTGAAGGCGCTGGCCTACGACCCCATGGTCGACCCTGCCCATGACTTGACGTCGCCTGTGCTGGTGCGCGAGCTGAGGGGGCTGTGCAGCAGCGGCGACGTGATGGGCTCCTTCGCAGGGCCGCCTTGCTCGACCGTCAGTCGCGCCAGGCATCACGCCCTGGGCGGCCGCCGCGGCCCGCGCCCTCTGCGCTCTCGGGACCAGCCGCTCTTGCCCTTGCCTGAACTATCAGAGTCCGAGCGCCAGGCGTGTGCGCTGGGAACGCATCTCTTCCTCCTCTGCCTCGAGCTCTTCACCAGAGTCCATATCAGAGGGGGCTGGGCAGGACAGGAGCATCCTCAGGATCCAGGTCGTCATCCTTTCCCGTCTTTTTGGATTGCTCAGGAGGTGGTGGAGTGGATCTCAGAGTTCGGTTTGTACATGGTCTCGTTCGATCAGTGTCGGCATGGATTGTTATCTCAGAAGCCCACGTCCGTTGTCACTAATGACGCCAGAGCCGCCGCTGTCTTGGGACTTCGCTGCAATCATCGACACCGTCACAAGGGTGTGTACGGCCTGGCCCCGAAGGGAGGTTTCGTCACCGCTCAGTTGGCTCGCTACCCTCCGCAGCTGTGTCAGGCTCTGGCTCGCTTGGCGGTCAACGCGCTCGTCGCCCATCAGCAGCACCTCAGCCATGGCCGACGATCCTGGCAGGCGCCGTGGGCGCATCATTACCTTCTTGATGAGCGCGCTCAAGCCAGTGACGACCGACAGGTACGCCGCCGCACTGTGCGATTTCAGCTCTGACCTGGAGGCGCTGGGCTACGGCATCCACGAACTCACTGAGGAAGAGCTCGATTGGTTCCTGGCCGAACGAGTGGTGGATATGTTCGAAGAGTCTGGCGGGGTGGACGGGCTCGGGACTGCCTCAACCCTGCTGGCCGCCTTCGCGAAGGCGAATCCTCGGCACCACTACCGCGCGGCCTGGAAGGCGCTGGACGTCTGGCGCACCCGCAGGCCGCCTCTGCAGGCGCCCGCCTTACCAGCGGTGCTGGCGCTGGGCATTGTGAACTGGCTCGTGCTGGCTGGAGAGCGTGGCTGCGCCGCCGCCGTGCTGCTGTGCTTCACTGGGTTGCTGCGAGCGTCCGAGGCGCTCTCCTTAGACGGCGCGACCTGGATCAGGACCGTGACAGGGTACGTCGCGCTGCTCGGCCGCACTAAGAGAGGGGCAGAGCAGAAGGTCCTGTTCGAGGAGCCGTCCACCGTGACCTGGCTGGATCACTACATGCTGCGCTTTCCCGCCAAACCAGGGCAGCGAGTGTGCCCCATCTCGTACCCGCGGCTCCAGTGGTGGCTTCAGAAGGCCGCCGGCGCGCTGGGCTTCGGGGCTGTTCACTGGACTTCTCATGGGCTGCGCCGTGGGGGAGCCACTGAACTGCTGTCACGGGGCGTGCCGCTAGCAGACATCATGCTTTTCGGTCGCTGGCTCTCAGAAAGGTCTGCTCGTGAGTATCTTCGGCGCGGGGAGGTGAGTCTCACTCGCTTGCGCGTTGACATTGCCAAGTCGTCATGGTCTCTTGCCTACAGGTACTGTGCAGTTGGAGCCCAGGTTTGGGCTGTAGTCTGAGTTTCAGTCAGTTTCTTCTTCTCCGATTGTTGTTTCGTAGCTTTCGCTGGATAGGGGAAGGTGGCGAGGCATTGGCCTACGCAGGCCAGCTTGGTGCGATCGTGATCGCACTCCACCTTTGAAAAATAAGCTGGTACGCTCCGCGTGCGCCATCCCCTGTGAAGGGTCGGAGAGGTGGTTGTAGGTGACGTTCTGAAATAGATAGAGCTTGCTGGATAGTTTTCGGAATGCCAGGTCTCTCATCCAGCCTCGTCTCGACGTCCGTGCTCCTGGAATTGGCTGCCTTTGATGTTCTGCCAGCCTCTCTTTCAGGATTCACGCTCGTAATCATTTTGGCCCTGCTGCGCTCCCACCCACCCGTGGTGGTCACCGACAACAGTGTGGAGTGCGCGGGGCCTTGCACTGCTCCTTCGACGGCGAGGCATTGGCCTACGCAGGCCAGCTTGGTGCGATCGTGATCGCACTCCACCTTTGAAAAATAATATGGTACGCTCCGCGTGCGCCATCCCCTGTGAAGGGTCGGAGAGGTGGTTGTAGGTGACGTTCTGAAATATATATATATATATATATATATATATATATATATTCGGTGCCCCGCTGCGGCAAACGGTGCCCCGCTGATTCCGGGCGGACAGGATACGTTCCACATCTCGGCCTCGTCGGGGCCCGTTTCGGGCCCCGGGGGCAAGCACATATGGCCACGGTGCGGACAACGGTGCCCCGCAGAGTTCGGGCGGACAGGATGTTTTCCGGCCTCGCCGCTTGATCCACACGTCCGACTCCCGGGTGGCATCAGGCCCCCGGGGCAGCGACATATCCGGTCCTCGCCGCTCGAGCGACATTTTTCCGCCGTCGTGGGCGCCTGCTCCTCAGGGCGGCAGAAAGTCTATACCCCTGCGCGGCACCGTAAGGTTGTAAACTTCCAGCCGCCCAGGGGGGGGCAGGCGTCCGCTACGACGGGGGGCAGGGAGCAGTGGCCCGCCGTGAAAGGGATTCGAGATCTCTGTCAGAGGGCGAAGAACGGTAGAGAGTAAACTTGCAGCCGCCCAGGGGGCAGGCGTCCACGACGGCGGAGAAGGGTAGAAAATAGTATACAACACTTGCAGCCGCCCAGGGGGCAGGCGTCCACGACGGCGGAGAAGGGTAGAAAGTAAAAAGTAAACTTGCAGCCGCCCAGGGGGCAGGCGTCCACGACGGCGGAGAAGGTTGTCTTATGCCGTTCTTCGCCCGCTGATTCTGGGCTCCACTGGTCGGACAAGAAAAAAAGGACCGCCCGAGATCTGGGTCGATCCTCCCCCCCCCTTCCGCCCTGCTCCGACCTCGTCGCGAACTTTCGCCCTGGCCCCTCCTCCTCCTCCTCCTCCTCCTCCTCCTCCCCTCCTCCTCCTCCTCCTCCCTCCTCTTCCTCCCTCCTCCTCCTTTCGCCCTGGCCCCTTCTCCTCCTCCTCCTCCTCCTCCTCCTCCTCCTCCTCTTCCTCCTCCTCCTCCTCCGTCCTTGCTCCACCCTCCTTTTTCTGCAATGCTCTTCCGGGGAGATGGCGGGAGGCCCCCCTACCCACCCCCACCGCCTCCAATACGTACTGCGGGGGGCTGCCTCGAAGAGTATTCCACCCGCCTTCCCCATTTGGCAGGAGAGGAAGCGAAGAGGGAGGGCGCGCGCGATTGCCGGCCAAGCGCCAGGAAGGAAACTCTGCCCGGGGAACGCATCCTCCTCCTCGTCCTCAGCCGCCTTCCTGTTCTGCCTCCTTTCTAGCTTCCTTCCCTCCTCCTCCTCCTCCTCCTCCTTCTCCTCCTCCTCCTCCTCCTCCTCCTCCTCCTCCTCCTCCTCCTCCTCTGCAGAGAGGCTTCCAGAGAAGGATACCTCCCAACACGCCCTGGTGCGCACCCGGCGTGTCCGAGAACGGGGGCCCTCTGCCCCCCCCCCCCCCCCCCCCTCCCGCCGCGGCGAGAGGGGCGGGGGCCCCACCGCGAGAGCACAGAGGCAAGCGCGCGTCGCGTCCTAGGCCGCACGGGTGCTCTCCTCCAGGGGGGCGGCGGGCGCGAGGGCGCGAAGGTGTGGCCGGGCGTGCTGCGCGCTCGCACGGAGCGCGAAGGCAGGCGACCTGCGGTCGAGGCGCCGAGGCGAGGACGCTCTTGGGCTCGGGAGGAGCTCCGTTCTTCGGGCCGTGCCCTGGGTCCAGGCCGGGGAAGCTGTGCGTGGCCGGCGCTCGACGTGGCCAGAGCAGCCCCCCGTCGTTCCCTATTTGGCGTTCCCTGCGGTAGCACGGTCGCTGCTGGAGAAGGGGGAGGCGGGGGCCGCAGCCGCGGGCCGATCCCACCAGCAGAGCTCCGTGGGAGTGTTCCTGCCGCTCCTCGTCTCCCCCTGTTCTCTTCTCTCGACTCCTCACTCCTCCCGCTCCACTCCCTCGTTTCGCCGTCCTTTCCCCCCGGCAGATCATCATCCGTCCTCCACGTCCCTCCCTCCCTCCTGCCATCTCGCTCTCCTGCCCCCCACCCCCCACCCCTCCTCCTCCTCCTCCTCCTCCTCCTCCTCCTCCTCCTCCTCCTCCTCCTCCTCCTCATCCTCCTCCTCATCCTCATCCTCATCCTCATCCTCATCCTCATCCTCATCCTCCTCCTCATCCTCCCCATCCTCCTCATCCTCCTCCTCCTCCTCCTCCTGCTCCTCCTCCTCCGCCTCAGCCACCCCTTTCAGACGTATTCGCAGGGCGGTCTTGGCATTTCGCTTTGCACTTCCATACCATGATCCTCGAGCTTCTAGAATTTCCAGCATTTACGCTCACGGATAGAGGGCGGAACGATTTCAACATTGGCTTCTCGTTTTGGCGTTGCGCACTTTCGCTTGAAGAGGTGTCCAAACGCTGCAAGGAACGACGGAGGGCGGTATCTTTTCAGAGCATGATGATCGCCTTCGCGCTGCGCACACGTATCATTATAGCAGCGGCTGTTTTGCTGTAATCGGTGGTGTTGTTTGATCTGTCACCTTTTTAAATCCTACACGTTCAGATTTCGAGTCTCTATTCTACACGGGTGGTCGGTGGCTGCGCCCTTTTTTCCACAGCGTAGGAGGGCGGCGACGCCTTTTCACAGCCTGGCGCCCGCCATAGAGGACTCTTGACCTTTGGAGGCGGTGGACATGGATATATTTGAGACCCCTGGGACCTAAACGAGGTTCCTCGCAGATTGGTTCCCCTGGCCGCTGATATGCGTGAACCCTGCCTTGACTGCTCTGGCTTATCCGAGCGAAGCCGACGCCGAGACATTCCTCTCGCTCGCAGATGACCAGATGCAGGCAGAACCTCCGCGTGTGAGGGAGTGCCCCAGGGGACTCCAAGACGAGCAGACCCATGGGCCTTCGCCCCTTTCTTTTGGACACCCGGCTGTGACGTTGAGCAGCTGCCCTGCATTGTGTGTTGCCGCTTGCAAGAGGGAAGATGCCGGAGGAGAGTGGAAGGAGATGAGGGACATGAGGGTGAGGATGCAGATTGGATTGATTTTGAGCGGGTCAACGCGCCATCTGAAGTAGCCATCGGGGCTTCTGGGCAACATAGTGGGAAGGCGGACCACATGGGATAGGTAAGGCGCCGTGCGACGCGCTTTCACCCAATGTTGCAAGTGTCCTCCCTTGTGCAGATTTGCCGTGAGCAAGGAGCTGGGGACAAATCATCGTCGTTCCCACGGACCCCAAGGGAGCCCCCTCCAAAGTACTCGAGGCCCCCATGTTTCTGGTTTCCCAATACACCGTGCCCCTTGCGTTCTATGTATATTCGACTTGTGTGGGTTGCTTGCTCTTCGTTCACCTTGAGCTTACACATGACTTGTCTCTAATGTGATGTTCGCATGCCCTCAGTTTGTTTTTTAGTGTTCCATCGTGCTATCTCACGTGTTGTGTGGTGGTGTTCCTTGAACTTGCCTGTGCCATGCGAATGTCGGGCTGCCTTTGACGTGCGACGTTTGGCGTGAATGTTGCGTATTTGTTGTTTGCGTGCGGCGGGGAATTAGCTTGTTGTTCGCTTGTCTCGTAGCTCATCGTGCCATGCACATTGTTTGAACCTGCTTCTAGCTTGATCGAATTTCGTCTGTGGGTCGAAGATCTTTCGCCTTCAGCTGGCATCCAGCTTACCTTTGGTTTGCCTCTAGCGTATCTTCAGCCTGTCTCTTGTTTTCCTTTCCAATGCGCTCCATGTTGAAATGTAGTTAACCTGTCAGCTCACACCATGTATACACGCATCACGTACGTGTATGCACATGTACGTATATACACATCTATGTATCAGCGCGTGCACTCAGTCTGACCTCAGCTCGCACACAGCCTGCCTGTAACGCGCCGAAGCTCACTATAGACTGTCTTCCGGGCTGCTCATGGCGTGCCTGGCTTGCCCCTGCCCAGAAGCGAGTGAGCTAGAGAGAGAGAGAGAGAGAGAGAAAAAAAAAAAAAAAAACGAAAACAACAAAAAGCGAGACAGAGCGTGCTTGCCGTTTCCCACCTGCGGCTCAGGCGTGCTCACGCCTCAGGTCGGCGCCGCCGATGTCGGCCTCTGCGTGCGTCCAGCCCGCACGCCCGACCACATGCGCTCGCGGCGGCGTCGGCGCCGCGCCCCCGCGGCGCGGTGCCCAGCCGGGAGTTGCTAAAGGTGCTCCTGGCCCGAGGTGCCCCCAGCTTCTCGCTCCACCTTGGAGGCCCTGGGGCCCCCTTGGCCTCGTGAGGGGTGCTCGGGAGGCCGCGGGGGCCACCTCGGAGGCCCCGGGCCCCCCTTGGCCTCGTGAGGGGTGCTTGGGAGGCCGTCGGGGGCCCTCCTTGGACCTCCCAGGGGCGCCCTGGGCCCTGGGCACCTCCAGCAGACACCCGGCCCCGCGCCCCGAGCCAGCGGCGGCCGCGGCGGTGCCGCCGCGCCTCGCCCTGCGGCTGGGCGCCGCGGGGCCCGTGGCGCTGGCCGTGGCAGGCCTGCCGCGGGGCGCGGCGCGGCCCGCGCGGAGGCGGCGGCGCCCCAGGCCGCCCCCGGCGGGGTCGTCTGGGCAGGTCGGGCGGGAGGATGGCGCCGCATCCGCGAGGCACTGGCGAGGCGTTGCGTGGCATCGCCCGGGCGTGCGCTTTGTCTCCGAGGGGGAAAAGGTACCCGTGCCTCTACTCCTTTCGCCCGCTTTCCCCCTTTTCGGCCTCCTGGGAGGCCCTCGTCGCCACCGCTGGATTCGCTTCGAAACTCGGTCTGGGGAGTAGCGGTATGGGTACACCTTTTTGGGGTCTTTCAATTTTCTGGCGAAGGCCATCGAGGAGCGCATTGGAGATGATCGTGCGCGAAAACACGCGCGAGAACCGAGATGTGCACGGGGAGTGGACGTCCGAGCGATGGCAAGGGTGGCGATGCACCCGCCGCTTCGGCGATGCCTCGGCGACGCCAGCGCGGAGAACAGCGGGCCCCGCATCGCGCCGCATCGCCCTCGCCGCTGCATCGGCGATGCGGCGCATGGTAAGGCTTCGGGCTGCGCCCCCGCCCCCCCCCCGCGGAGTCCTGGCTGGCCCCAGCAGGCCCCCGAGCCATTTGGCGTGGTCTCCGCGCTGTGGTGCCGCCTTCAGCGGCGCCCCTGGGGCGCTCCGCGCCCCAGGGTTGTGGTGTGGATACCGCCCTGGATTGCTTGCGGGACCTGTTGAGGCCAGCTTGGACTACTTGCTGGGCCGCCCGTGCGCAAAGCTGTACCAGCACCGCGTCGCTGCTGCATCGGCGATGCGGCGCGATGTGGGGCCCGAGTTTCTCTGCGCCAGCATCGCCGAGACGTCGCCGAAATGGCAGATGCATCGCCAACGCATCGCCGATGCATCGGGGATGGGGAACGATCCTCCGACCCGATCTGCCCAGACGACCTTACTCGGGAGTCATCCAGGTGCGTGGGATGCTGGGCCCAGGGTTTTGACAAGGACAGGTTTCTCAGACAGGAGGAGTTTGACATCCTGTCGCTGCAGTCCTTCCGACGCGAGGCCATCACCCAGTACGACAGCACGAACCAGTCGGGGCCCTTGCGTATGTCGAGGAGCAAGAAAAAACACATAAACAGAATTACAACTTCGGAGGTCCGCGCGGATTTCTTGAATCGGCGCTAGTGAGCTCGATACACACATCCGTGGAGAAATCGATGGTGAGCTCGACCGTGAGATCGACAGTGGGCGCATGGTCGTATCGATCGTGAGTTTCGCTTACAACATCTTCGCAACTCTAGGACCACAGCGCGCGCGAAGTGATCCGGCGAGTTCCGCCCGATACCT